GGTTTTAAAAAAAAGGTTAACCCCACCACCTATTAATGTACCTGTCCCAAGTCGGGAATCTCTTCAGTAGATGTTGTATGTCATATGTTAATGTTTTTGGGTTATTTGAAGAATTGGGTGTTAACCACATATCATTAATTGTTTCTTTTCAATTTATTCACATCTATTAAAGAACAGGATGATGTAGAGATTGACAAATTGTATAGACACCAGTGGTTGTTGCTCTCTACAGACTACATGTCTATGGGTTATTTTTTTATTCCCATTCCAAAGGAGTCAGGGTATACTCACTAACTAATTACTGGTTAACTTCTGTTCATTCTTCCCATGTATTTTTGATTTCATTTTTCTAAGGAACTGCAAAATCAGAGCTGCCTGAAATTTGGTACCAAGCTGATGCATTTTCACATTCATCATTCAACTACCTGTTAACCAAAAACATTTGTACTTAGATCATGTAGATATTCTTACACATTATGTAACCATGTATGAAATTTTTGTTCATTTTTCACGAAGTGCAACACAGAGCTTCCTGATATTTGGAAGTAAGCTTCATGTGAGCTAATATACTTGTATATTCTTACAAATAATGGCCAATTTGAATTTCATCGCATTTTTCTTAGGAAGTAGGAATCAGAGGTTTCTGAAATTTTGTATCAAGCCCCATGTGAGCAAGATACAACCTGTCATGTGTTTTCACATCCATACTCATCAACTCCCTGTTCACTGAAATTTGTCTGAATATTTTTAGCTGGGTATCATTGTGAGCAATAGCTCACAGTTCAACCTGTAGTAGGGTTGCTGTATCATTGAGGTGTACCCCACATCTCCTTTTAATATTAGCTCACCTCGCCCAAAGGGCAAAATGAGATTTTGCCATCACTTTGTCATGAACTTTGAAAACAAGGTCATGGATCATAAATTACAGTTCAATTTCCATTTTTACATTTATAAAGTTGTTCCTCTTAATAACCTTAAAATTTTGATTTTTATGCCCCCGCTGTGGCGGAGGGGGCATTAAGTTTTACCCTTGTCTGTCTGTAGGTACGTAACGTATGTACGTAAGTTCGTACGTACGTCCATCTCAAAGTTGGTTTCCGTTCTCTAACTTTAGTTTGTCTAAAGCAAATGTTATGAAACTTATACACAATGCTTATTACCACAAAACACAGATCAATTTTCAATTTTGATGGCATCACTTTAACTGTTCTAGAGTTATGCCCCTTTACAAATGGAAACATTGCTGAATTTTTCGTTTCTGTCCTCTCACTTTAGTTTGCCTCAACCAAATGTTATGAAACTTATGCACAATGCTTATTACCACAAAACTTAAATAAAGTACAAATTTGGGTAGTGTCACTTTTACAGTTATTGAGTTATATCCCTTATATGCAAGCAGGGGCATCATCTGTGTCCCATGAACACATTCCCCATTTATTATTTTGTTGTGTTTCGTGGTGGTAAGTTCAATTTGATGAAATACAGGTCACATTCAATTTGATGAAATACAGGTCACATTCAATTTGATGAAATGCAGGTCACATTCAATTTGATGAAATACAGGTCACATTCAATTTGAATTTTGGTTTTGGCATTTGCTGTTAAAGAGTTTTTTCTGCAAGAAGGGGTGTCTGTGATTACCTTATTCTAGTATCAGTAATGTCATTGACAAGTTTGAAAATCAGTGCTCATCAAACATTTTACTGGAATAATGTTCCTTTGAAATGCAACTTACCGTATGTTGAACATTGCATTGTGAGCATTCTCACAACTACATTTCTTGTTGGATTTTTATGAAATTTATATTAAAGAGATATGAGAAGATGTGGTATGAGTGCCAATGAGACAACTCTCCATCCAAGTCAAAATTTATAAAAGTAAACCATTATAGGTCAAAGTACGGTCTTCAACACGTAGCACTTGTCGTCCGTTGTCTGTCGTCGTCATCCGTCTTCGTTAGCTTTTTACAAAAATCTTCTCCTCTGAAACCACTGGGCCAAATTTAACCAAACTTGGCCACAATCATCATTAGGGTATCTAGTTTAAAAAATGTGTCCGATGACCCCGCCAACCAACCAAGATGGCCGCCATGGCTAAAAATAGAACATAGGGGTAAAATGTAGATTTTGGCTTATATCTCTGAAACCAAAGCATTTAGAGTAAATCTGACAAAGAGCAAAACTGATTATCATGTCAAGATCTATCTGCCCTGAAATTTTCAGACAAATCTGACAACCTGTTGTTGGGTTGCTGCCCCTGAATTGGTAATTTTAAGGAAATTTTGCAGTTTTTATACGACCGCAAAAATTAAAAATTTTTTGGTCGTATATTGGTATGACGTTGGCGTCGTCGTCGTTGTCGTCGTCGTCTGGCGTCGTCCGGCGTCGTCCGAAGACACATTGGTTTTCGCACTCTAACTTTAGTTTAAGTGAATGGATCTCCATGAAATTTTACCATAAGGTTCAATACCACGAAAGGAAGGTTGGGATTGATTTTGGGGGTTATGGTACCAACAGTTAAGGAATTAGGGGCCAAAAAGGGGCCAAAAATAAGCATTTTTGTAACTTCCAGACAATAACTTGTGTGTAAGTGTATGGATCTCTCTGACATTGTACCACAAGGTTCCATATCACAAAGCGAAGGCTGTTATTGATTTTGGGGGTAATTGCCTCAAAATTTTAGGAATTAGGGGCCAAAAAAGGGGCAAAAAACAAGCATTTTTCTAGTTTCATGACAATAACTTGTGTGTAAGTGTTTGGATCTTTCTGAAATTGTACTACAAGGTTCCATATCACAAAGGGAAAGCTGGAATTGAGTTTGGGGTAATTGCCTGAAACGTTTAGGAATTGGGGGCCAAAAAGGGGCAAAAAATAAGCATTTTTCTAGTTTCCAGACAATAACTTGTGTTCAAGTGTATGGATCTCTCTGAAATTGTACTGCAAGGTACCATACCACAAAGGGAAGGCTGGTATTGAGTTTGGGGGTGATGAATCATAAGGGGGTTCATAAAATTTGGGAGGGGGGAATTTTTTTTTTTATTTTTATTTTTTTTTTTACTTTTTTTTTTTCTTTTAAAATTTTTCATTTTAAGTTGGTTATTTCTGATTAATATTTAAAAGCAAATAATAATGATATGGTAGGAGATATACACCAAACAGGATGTGTAAATTATTATATAATAAGTATTGTGCAATAGCAAGAAATTTTCAATTGCACAGTATTGCACAATAGCAAGAAATCTTCAATTGCACAGTATTGCGCAATAGCAAGAAATCTTCAATTGCACAGTATTGCGCAATAGCAAGAAATATCCAATAGCACAATATTGCGCAATAGCAAGAAATTGTCATTTGTACAGTATTGCACAATAGCAAGAAATATTCAATTGCACAGTATTGTGCAAAAGAAGATACTTCGTATAAATTACTTATTTCTTGATCAATTTCAATGGGGTTTTATTCTTGAATTCTTGGGGTTCTTTAATATGCTGAATCTAACAGTGTATTAAGTTTTTGGATTTTGGGCCCCATTTTTAAATTGGTCCACATTGAGGTCCAAAGGGTCCAAAATTTAACTTTGTTTGATTTCATCAAAAATTGAATTATTGGGGTTCTTTGATATGCCGAATCTAACCGTGTATTTAGATTCTTAATTTTTGGTTCCGTTTTCAAATTGGTCTACATTAAGGTCCAAAGGGTCCAAAATTAAACTTAGTTTGATTTTAACAAAAATTGAATTTTTAGGGTTCTTTGATATGCTGAATCTAAACATGTATTTAGATTTTTGATTATGGGCCCAGTTTTCAAGTTGGTCCAAATCGGGGTCCAAAATTAAACTTTGTTTGATTTCAACAAAAATTGAATATATGGGGTTCTTTGATGTGCTGAATCTAACCATGTATTTAGATTTTTGATTTTTGGGCCCCGTTATCAACTTGGTCCACATTGAGGTCAAAAGGGTCCAAAATTAAACTTTGTTTGATTTCATCAAAATTGAATTCTTGGGGTTCTTTGATATGCTGAATCTAACCATGTATTTAGATTTTGGATATTGGAACATAATAGGTGAATGTCCAATTTAAAATTTTTAAGTTCTTAGACCACATTCATTCTGTGTCAGAAACCTATGCTGTGTCAAATATTTAATCACAATCCAAATTCAGAGCTGTATCAAGCTTGAATGTTGTGTCCATACTTGCCCCAACTGTTCAGGGTTCGACCTCTGCGGTCGTATCAAGCTGCGCCCTGCGGAGCATTTTATTGGTTATTATCTTGAATATTATTATAGATAGAGATAATCTGTAAACAGCAATACTGTTCAGCAAAGTAAGATCTACAAATAAGGTGTCATGACCAAAATTGTCAGTCGACCCCTTTAGGAGTTATTGCCCTTAATAGTAAATTTTTAACAATTTTTTGTAAATTTTTGTAACCTTTTACAAAAATCTTCTTCTCTGAAACTACTGAGACAAATTTAACCATACTTGGCCATAATCATTATTAGGGTATCTAGTTTCAAAAATTTGTCTGACCCCGCCTTCCAACCATCATGGCGACTTGGTTAAATTTTTGGTTGATATCTTTGAAACTAAAGCATTTATAGCAAATCTGACAGGTGGCAAAAATGTTCATCAGATTTAGATTTATCTGCCCTGAAAGGTCAAGTGAGCTTTTCTCATCACTTTGCGTCCGTCGTCAGTCGTCCGTAAACTTTTACAAAAATCTTCTCCTCTGAAACTACTGGGTCAAATTTAACCAAACTTGGTCACAATCATCATTGGGGTATCTAGTTTAAAAAATGTGTCCGGTGATCCGGTCAACCAACCAAGATGACAGCCATGGCTAAAAATAGAACATAGGGGTAAAATGTAGATTTTGGCTTATATCTCTGAAACCAAAGCATTTAGAGCAAATCTGACATGGGGTAAAATTGTTTATCAGGTCAAGATCTATCTGCCCTGAAATTTTCAGATGAATCGGACAACCCGTTGATAGGGTTGCTGTCCCTGAATTGGTAATTTTAAGGAAATTTTGCCGTTTTTGGTTATTATCTTGAATATTATTATAGATAGAGATAAACTGTAAACAGCAATAATGTTCAGCAAAGTAAGATCTACAAATAAGTCAACTTGACCAAAATGGTCAGTTGACCCCTTAAGGAGTTATTGCCCTTTATAATCAATTTTTAACCATTTTTTGTAAATTTTTGTAATCTTTTACAAAAATCTTCTCCTCTGAAACTACTTGGCCAAATTTAACCAAACTTGGCCACAATCATCATTAGGGTATCTAGTTTAAAAAATGTGTCCGGTGACCCGGCCAACCAACCAAGATGGCCGCCATGGCTAAAAATAGAACATAGGGGTAAAATGTAGATTTTGGCTTATATCTCTGAAACCAAAGCATTTAGAGCAAATCTGACGAGGATAAAATTGTTCATGAGGTCAAGATCTATCTGCCCTGAAAATTTCATATGAAGCGGACAACCTGTTGTTGGGTTGCTGTCCCTGAATTGGTAATTTAAGGAAATTTTGCCGTTTTTGGTTATTATCTTGAATATTATTATAGATAGAGATAAACTGTAAGCAGCAATAATGTTCAGCAAAGTAAGATCTACAAATAAGTCAACTTGACCAAAATGGTCAGTTGACCCCTTAAGGAGTTATTGCCCTTTATAGTCAATTTTTAACCATTTTTCGTAAATTTTTGTAATCTTTTACAAAAATCTTTTCCTCTGAAACTACTAAGACAAATTTAACAAAACTTGTCCACAATCATTATTGGGGTATCTAGTTTAAAAATTGTGTCCGATGACCCTGCCCGCAAACCAAGATGGCCGACATGGCTAAAAAATAGTACATAGGGTAAAATGCAGTTTTTGGCTCATATCTCTGAAACCAAAGCATTTTGAGCAAATCTGACGAGGATAAAATTGTTCATTAGGTCAAAATCTATCTGCCCTGAAATTTTCAGACCAATCAGGCAACACGTTGTTGGGTTTGCTGCCCCTGAATTGGTCATTTTAAGAAAATTTTGCAGCTTTTAGTTATTATCTTGAATATTATTATAGATAGAGATAAACTGTAAACAGCAATAATGTACAGCAAAGTAAGATCTACAAATAAGTCAACATGATCAAAATTGTCAATTGTCCCCTTAAGGAGTTATTGCCCTTTATAGTCAATTTTTTACAATTTTCATAAAATTTGTAAATTTTTGAAAATTTTACATAATATTTTCCACTGTAACTACTGGGCCAAGTTCATTATAGATAGAGATAATAGTAAGGAGCATGAATGTTCAGTGAAGTAAGATCTACAAACACATCACCATCACCGAAACACAATTTTGTCATGAATCCATCTGTGTCCTTTGTTTGATATGCACATAGACCAAGGTGAGCGACACAGGCTCTTTAGAGCCTCTAGTTGTTATTATCTTAGATATCATTATAATATCTAATACTATTAATTATGATTTTAACCTTATTTTACATGATTTCCAAAGCATCAGTAAATACAGGTGAGCGACACAGGCTCTTGAGAGCCTCTAGTTGGTTATTATCTTGAATATTATTATAGATAGAGATAAACTGTAAACAGCAATAATGTTCAACAAAGTAAGATCTACAATTAAGTCAACTTGACCAAAATGGTCAGTTGACCCCTTAAGGAGTTATTGCCCTTTATAGTCAATTTTAACCATTTTTCGTAAATTTTTGTAATCTTTTACAAAAATCTTCTCCTCTGAAACTACTAAGACAAATTTAACCAAACTTGTCCACAATCATCATTAGGGTAACTAGTTTTAAAAATGTGTGCGATGACCCCGCCCGTGAACCAATATGGCTGACATGGCTAAAAAATAGTTCATAGGGTAAAATGCAGTTTTTGGCTCATATCTCTGAAACCAAAGCATTAAGAGCAAATCTGACGGGGGGGTAAAATTGTTTTTCAGGTCAAGATCTATCTGCCCTGAAATTTTCAGACCAATCAGGCAACACGTTGTTGAGTTGCTGCCCCTGAATTGGTAATTTTAAGGAAATTTTGCTGTTTTTGGTTATTATCTTGAATATTATTAGAGATAGAGATAAACTGTAAACAGCAAGATGGTTCAGCAAAGTAAGATCTACAATTAAGTCAACTTGACCAAAATGGTCAGTTGACCCCTTAAGGAGTTATTGCCCTTTATAGTCAATTTTTAACCATTTTTCGTAAATTTTGGTAATCTTTTACAAAAATCTTCTCTGAAACTACTAAGACAAATTTAACCAAACTTGTCCACAATCATCATTAGGGTATCTAGTTTAAAAAATGTGTCCGATGACCCCACCCGCGAACCAAGATGGCCGACATGGCTCAAAAATAGTACATAGGGTAAAATGCAGTTTTTGGCTCATATCTCTGAAACCAAAGCATTTAGAGCAAATCATACAGGATAAAATTGTTCATTAGGTCAAGATTTATCTGCCCTGAAATTTTCAGACCAATCAGGCAACACGTTGTTGGGTTGCTGCCCCTGAATTGGTAATTTTAAGAAAATTTTGCAGCTTTTGGTTATTATCTTGAATATTATTATAGATAGAGATAAACTGTAAACAGCAATAATGTACAGCAAAGTAAGATCTACAAATAAGTCAACTTGATCAAAATTGTCAATTGACCCCTTTAGGAGTTATTGCCCTTTATAGTCAATTTTTTACAATTTTCATAAATTTTGTAAATTTTTGTAAATTTTTACAAAATATTTTCCACTGTAACTACTGGGCCAAGTTCATTATAGATAGAGATAATTGTAAGCAGCAAGAATGTTCAGTAAAGTAAGATCTACAAACACATCACCATCACCAAAACACAATTTTGTCATGAATCCATCTGTGTCCTTTGTTTAATATGCACATATACCAAGGTGAGCGACACAGGCTCTCTAGAGCCTCTAGTTTTTTCTAATACTATATGCAATAAGTCAACTATATTTGGTGTATGGAAATATTTTATGATGTACATGTCAGTCTTGCAGGTTTTATTTGACCTTGAACTCATTTTCATGGTTCATTTCTCAGTGTTAAGTTTTTGTGTTTTGGTCTGTTTTTCTTCAACTACAAGCAATAGATCAACTATAGTTGTTGTATGGAAGGATTGTAAGGTGTATATGTCTGTCTGGCAGGTATCATCTGACCTTGGCCTCATTTTCATGGTTCATTGGTCAATGTTAAGTTTCCATGGTTAAGTTTGTTTCTTAGATACTAGAAGCAATAGGTCAACTATATTTAATGCATACATTGATTGTAAGGTGTACATGTCTGTCTGGCATGGTTCATCTGACCTTGACCTCATTTTCATGGTTCATTGGTCAATGTTAAGTTTTCTTGGTTAAGACTGTTTCTTAGAAACTATAAGCAATAGGTCAACTATGTTTGGTTTATTGAATGGTTGTAAGGTGTACATGTATTTCTCGTTTGGTTTATCTGACCTTGACCTCATTTTCTTGGATCATGTTAAGTTTATGTGTTACTTGTAGTAAAGCTTTTTATTTAGAACTATCAACATAAAATCAATGGTTAGTAAAGAAGGTGAGACATTTCAGCATGTGCACTCTTGTTTACTATTATCAGGATTTAACATAATCTTTGTATAGAATTGATAAGTGATATATTGAAACTAAGACAAAAGCTTATTTGATTGTTCTGATTTTATCTTTTCTGAAAATCTTGAAACAGCTGATCTTGTCATAAACTTGAACTATTCAGACTTAGTATGTCACTAACTAGGCCAACCTTTCAGTACTGAAAAGAAATGGGGTCACTGTCATTTTTCTTGCTGGATACATTGAAAATATTATTATTACATTCAATCATATTAAACCAGTTTATAAGTTTAACATTGCTTAAAGTTTCGAATGCTTCAGGTAAGGAAATTGAAAAGAAATTGATAGACTCAATGTAGACCTGCATTAGACCAGACAGAAAATTTAGCTTAAGTTATGAAAAGTATATTACAACAAAAATATTTTCAATTTTATTCTTGGATTATTTCTAAAATAAATTCTATATCTCCTCATCAATCTGGTTACATTTGAAGATATAATGTCAATACCACCATGATCAGGCTTCCAGCTACGGTGCATCATGCCCTAGAATAGATTTTTCTTTGTCATTAAACAGCTGATCAATAACGTCCACGGGTTTTCAGACCCACACAATTATGTATTCCACTTTTCTGTGATGTCTCAATACAATAAGGTAAAATATTCTATATTCTGTATTTTTGCATTGTTTTTTTTTTTAATCTGATTTATGAGTTTGTTGGTCTCTTTTGTTGTTGTGAAAGAAAGATGTAGGAAGACAAGTTGAAAATCAATACCATTGCAGAGAATACACAACAATAACATTGCAAAGAGAGCTAAGAACTAATCTGTTCTATTTTTATCCCTTTTAGTTTCCATATGATTTGGTTATGATTAAGATTTGAATTTTTATTTGAAGTGTTTTTTGAATGATTTTTATTTGTCATGATTTGAATTATTATAATTTGAAGTTATGAATGGATAACCATGATAACAATAGCATACACAGAGATAAAATGTCACAAGAGGTCAGCTTGACCACTGCCATTGTTGATGTTGTAAGTTAACGTTGCTATCTTTATTTCAAACTGATTTTTTTTTCTTTTTGTACATTTGTAAGGCAAACTTAAAAGATGTCATAGATACTGACAATAATAAAACATTTCAAAAAATATATATAAAATTTACAGAGGCAGATTTAAAAAAAAAATTTGCAATTCATAAATTTTGTGTATCATGCTCTGCTACTTATATTAAACAATTGTATATCGATATTATTCCCTATTTATTACTGTAAATATATGTATGTGTGTATTGAAATTTGATTAATATTTTGTTATATGCCTATAAGCTGTATTGCTTTTGGAAATAACTTATTATTAAGGGTGGGGGGGCATGGAGCTATATATATGATAAATGCATAGACTTTTTACAAGTATCACTCCAAACTTTGGCTTGTTAAGCCCCCCCCCCCCCCCCCCCCCCCCCCCCCCCCTTTTTTTTTAGCTATCTCTGTTAAAGCAAGCTTTTTTACTTTATTTTCATGTTGGTCACTATTGCTCTCACAAATGATGGATATTTAAGAAGTGACAGAAAAGGTAAAAATATAGGAAGTATTATATATTAATAATCAATTGGAATGTTCTTTTGAAAAATATGTGTCATCAGGGCGCCTAGTTGCATTAAACTTGTAGTAAAAATGTGACAATAAATGTATGTATAGCTGGGAGGAAAAATGTGAATATCATCCATCTATGCCATTATTCTATTTTTTTTTTATAATAATAGCTTTTAATGTGTATTACACTTATATAATTCAATAAGTATTTTACCATCTGTGCTTTGTTTCTATAACTTACTCCCATGTTTGACAGTGTAGTACACTTAATGAAAAACTACACCTACTTTTTATTGAATTACTAGAAATAAGTGGGAAGACAAATTTAATGTATTAGAATTTAACATTAGTTGACTTAAATGTGGGTTATATCATATATCAAATATTTATGTCAAACAAAACTTTAACATGTACATTGTACAATCAAATTTTATATTCGCAAGGAATGCAAAAATCTTGTATATAGAGATACTTCTAGTAAGTATACATATGATAAATTAGTTGCCTGATTTGTTGAAAAAAGGCTCTTTACACAGAAGGCCAATTAGCAGTCGGAGGCTTAGTTGTATCTATCTGTACAGATCCCTTAGACTATCTGATGTCATTAACAAGAGAGCTGTTTGAGTCTCACCAACACCATGAACACTCTGGGCCTTTACAGAATGTACAATGACAAGATGTAATCAGTCTGTTTGTCCATTACTTTCTGAATGTGATAAGTCCTCTTCAGTTCATGAAAACTTAAAAAAACTAAAAAGAGGGTTACAGTAAAATGAATGGGTGACCAACATACAAATGGAAGACAGTGAGCTCATTTTTATTGGAATAAACCAAAGAAATAGTGTTTCTTTTACAATTGCCTTAATCGCCTTTATAAGTCTTTGTAAGCAGATTTTAATTGGGTATTTAACGAAGGAAAAAATCAAGTTATTTAACTGGTGAAGTCCGGAGGGTTGGATGGCAGCTGCAAACAGTTTCGGTGCAACAACATGAATAAATTATGAGCCATTCAACAAAATTTTTAAAATTCTTTTCAAATTTGAATATGTTGTTGCTGATGACAAAATGGAGATCAATTTAATGTTGTTGACTTTCACTTTTATCGGTTAGGAATATTGGTCTTTGAAATATTGGAATATGGCACTTTATATCATTTCCGTACAATGCCTTATGAACCTTTCCACCAATTCTTTACAAATTTTGATATGTTGCTATTAGTAACAAAACAGAGGTCAACTTTGATATTGACAACTTTCACTTTTACCGTGCAGAAGTTATGGTCCTTGATAGATTTGAAAATGGCACTTTTTGTTGTTTCCATGTAATTACTTATGAACTGTTCCATCTATGCTTTTCAAATTTAAATATGTAGTTACAGATAACAAAATGGAGATCAAGTTGAACTTTGATGATGTGGCAGATCAAATAAGCCTAAAAGTGCATACATAAAACCTGGTTTTCTGTCAATTTGACAGATCTTTTCTTGTTTTTGGTTTACAATCATTTTTAAAATTTCCATAGCACAGAAAAAAATGGAATAAGGTACACTTGTTCATTTCCCTTAGGTGTTATGGTTTTGGATAAATGAAGGTACAATAAGACATGCTTAGTAAACTTTCAAATATCATAAGACATCAGACATTAGTTGTAAAAAAAAATGTTTTTTTTTCATTATGTAATATTGTTTTTGTTGGGTTTTTTTTAAATACATATGTAATAAAATGCTAGCTACAAATGAGATATTTGACGGTTGGCCAAGTGCAGTTTTGAAAAACTTATGCAAACATGTAATTAAAGCTTAACAAAATAAAATAATTCTTTCATGTTAGGCCAAATAAAAAAAGATAGTTTGTTTTGATATAGTATGGATTTTCAGAGCAGATGGATTTTCTTTTATTAAACTACTTTGTTGTTATGATGGTAACAGTCACTGTTCTTTGAACCAACTGATTTCGATGTGTTAGTCTGATTGCTAGAACTTTAAAACAAATTTTTAGAAAATGTGAGATAAGAAAGGATGAATAAAAGGACAAAAAAAGTATATAGAGGTCTTCTGAATTTTACTTTATCAAATAAATCACAACATTTTTAACCCTTCAGCAAATAGTGTTTCAACAATATTTCGTAACCAGAGGCAGTGAAAATAGCTGCTGAAACTACATGGTCAAAAAGATTTTTGTAAAATAAGATGTGAACCATTTAAAGTTTTCTATCATAAACATATTATTAGTTATATCATTTTTCAATCCATCCATAATTGGACTGCAGAATATGAGATAATTTTTTAAATAAAAAATATAGATCACCATATCTAATGGTCTGCAGATTAATAAGTAATGGAATGAATAATAATATGTGATATGTAAATGAAAGAAGACTTTAAATGACTAATGTCATCTTAAACTGTTGATATTTGAAATAAAACGCCAAGAATGGCCCTGCTAGCAAAGACAGATTGAAGCTCAATATGTGAAGGCGTTTAGAAAAGAAGTCTGTATAACTGTTATTTTCATGAAAGTTTCAAAGTCCAAAGCCTGTAATTTTGGCAAAAATCAGCAGGGCAGAATCAAACGTAAACTAGATCTGTAACACATCGTAGTAGACTCACATACTAAAAATCAGCTCAATATGTGAAGGTGTTAAGAAAAAAAGTCTGAATAATTGTTTCATGTAGAATGACAGAAAAGGGTAAAACTATATGGCCCCGACCACTTGTTTATACGTCCGTTTACGGGACCTATTGAGGTATACCGTTGTCCATCTGTCCATCTGTCATCAACATGTCGGACACTAACTCAAAAACACTTCAACCAATTTGCATGAAACTTTGGTGAATTGTTTATATCTATTGACGTGAGCTCCCTTTTAATTTTTATAAACTTTAGGTTTCACGTTTCCAAGTTGTGGGGTTTTATTCATTAAAAAAGGGGGATTTCCCAGTTTTCAGACCATAACTTAAAAATGCTTTGAGCGGTTTTAGTGAAACTTTGGTGAATTGTTTATATCTATTGGCATAAGCTCCCTTTCAATTTTTATAAATTTTAGGTTTTATGTTTCTGAGTTATTGGATTTCATTCATAAAAAAGGGGGGATTTTCAAGCTTGCAGACAATAACTCAAAAGTGCTTTGAACAGTTTTCATTAAACTTTGGTGACTGTTTTATATCTATTAAAATAACCTCCCTTTAGTTTTTTTTCAATTTCTGATATGACGTCGAGGAGTTATGGATCTCTTTATTAATCAGGGTTTAACACTATTTTCAACCCCTGTGAATGTTCATGCATTTTTTTTTTATTTAACTATATTTTCCTATTAAAGATGATGTGAAGAAACCAAACATTTATTGTAATGAATAGATTCTATTTATTTTGGCTGGAATCCATGCTATGAAAGTCTATGACCTTGTAAAAATGTTACTATTTTCAACTCACTAAAATTTCTATGCATGTACTTAAAAGATATATTAAGTTGTCTTTTTCTTTTTGTAGACAAATGTCAATAAAGATATGAAGAGCCAGTATCACCATTGAGGTGACTTGCCATGTCACAGAGACCAAAAAGGAAAACTGCTATGATGACTGCTGAGGTTGTGCCAGGTCCTTCAAGTGCGATTGAAAGAAGTATTAAGGAAGCAACTACATCACTTGAAATGGAAGAGAAGGAGGATGCCAGTCCAGACAAAAAGATAAAATTATCAGCAGAAGAGGATTCAAATGACGAGAAAAAACAAGAAGAAATCCAAGCATACATGGATGAGACCTTTGATATAAGACGATCTTTCATAACTGTTGAAATGCCCTCTGCATTAGCAGTGAAGCAGACTTATCCGCAGTTGTTTACCGGAAGGCAAATGTTGGCGGAGTTTCAGAGGATAACAAATCTTGATATTGATCATTTGATTCAGGAGTACTGTGTGAAACACGCTAACAACATTATTGGTATTTCAAAATATATTTCTGGATCAAGTATCATTCTCCGTCAGGCTGAAGAAATTAAACAGCAAAATGCAGCATTGAAACAATACTGGGACATGGTTACGGCGTTATCACTTATTCCTATGCTTTTGAAAGAAAACTTTGTTGAAATGGTGGTTGAAATCACAGATGATCAACAAGTTAATCCAAAAGGAAAAATTGTCCCAATCCTGATATCTAAGGGGACCATTTTTAGAAGTGATGAATTTTTCCTGGTCATTGAAGAAGAAATCGTCCAAGAATTTGAAGAATTCACAATAGCTTTCGCTACTCTGTTTGCAGCATACTGGGTTTTTAACATGCAGTACCCTAAAACATTGAACAATTCCTATAACTTTATTCAAAAGGCAATCATACACCTGAAGGATGGAACACCAATACCTCCACCTTGTAAACAACTGGTTCAAAGGTTACAGAAAATGGAAGCAGCAGAAAGTGCAAAGCAAAAGAAAAAGTAAATCCAGTGAAATCTTCAGTACAATGTGCCATATAGAGGACGCTTTTTGTCTACAATATCATGAAGAATCTCAAAATACTTAACTAGAATCTCATATAAATAGTATTTTGAAGTTAAAGGTTAACAATAGAACTCAAATCAAATAATTTTGTTTATCAGTATAATTAACCAAATTAACTATTGATATCAGCTTCAAATTTTCTTATGCATTTGTACATTTAAGGAGAAATTTCAGTGCTTTGTATCTTTAACCATATTCTTAGGAGAGCTGAGAAAACACAACAAATTATCTCCCTTGGGTGACTTGGGCCAGTAAAATGACCAACTGAGGTTTTTCATTCTTAAGTTCAATATGGGACACAGCAAGTTTGTGAGTATTTTGACCAATATATTATCAGTGTTCAAAAACTGTCATGTTTTTCTCTTTTTTCTTCATATCCATTTTTCAAGGCACTCTATATTCAATCATAATGACCATGCTTCCTAAAAAGGTTGATTTGTGTTTTAATTGAAATATTTGTCATCAAACAGAATATTTACAGCTTCCTACAAACTAGAAAATTTACAAAATATCTTGCATACATGTAATACATTTTAAAACCATTCTAGAAGATTTGATATACCTTGTTTTTGTAAAGGTGTAATTTTTCTGAAAGAATCATATTTTGTGGTATCATGCTGTTGTGTATGTGATTTGTAAGTGAAAATGTCAGTTTAACTTCATTTAAGCTTGACTGGCCATTTAGTCACTAAAATTTATTGCCCTTACTTGGTGTTTGTTGTCCACTATCATTTATGACTTGTCCATGAACTTCTTAAAATGGAAGATTCATTGTAACATTAGATATTAATCTCGGTGAAGAGGTATTTGAAAAGAAAAAAATGTTGATAATTTGATTTTTAACCCTACATATCAACCAATATGGGAACTGTCACTTTAAATTTAACATTAGGCAAACATTGGTGTTAAACACTGAATTATAGATTTTTCTGTTAATTATAAGTATTTATGGGGTCCATAATGTTCCTTCACAATTGTACTGTCAAAGCAAAGTTATAGCTGTTTGTGTTAACATGGTTATTAGAAATTTTGGGAAAATGAGTAAGGAAAAATTCAGAGTAAATAATTGATTTGATCCGAATTTCATTCCTTATCAAAACAGTATTCAGCACCCCCACTTACATTATCTGACAAACATGTGTTTCATATTCTATAAATAGTATCTAGGGGGAAACCAAAAAAAATGTGATGGACCGATACAGGCTCCAGTTTACTTTGAGATCTGAGTATGTGAAAATTTATTTTACACTGACTAACTTAAATGCTAAAGTATTGTTGTTATATAGAAAAAATAGTCACACAAATAGTAATTTTGCTTTATTTGTGAATTTGTTAAGAATATATATAATTCTCTTTGTTACTGAATTGATTTCTGTTGTGCTGTATGACCAAACAGATTCCTATCCTCATACCTTTAAAAAAGTTATGTTTCAAAGTGTTTCTTTTATTCATTTTCACAATAGTATCATAACCACTCGTGCATCTTATAGTTGCAGACAAATGGAAACTGTGGTTTAAAGGACTGAAATAATGTCATTCGACATCAAGCAGATTTTGGGCAGTAAAGTATTTATTCTTTTAACCTCCACGATAAATTCATAACCACTCATCAGTCAAACAGGCCCTGTCTTGTGACCTACCATAGATCAAGTGCACCTTGAATATTTTGGTATACTATAGGAATGAGCTTCAATACCCCTATTTATAGTAACTTGAATCATTCAGACGTTATATTCAGACCCTGTGAGTAGGAGAGATTGATAGCAGGGAAGGTTTGAATTATTCAGACGATATATTCAGACCCTGTGAGTAGGAGAGATTGATAACAGGGAGGGTTTGAATTATTCAGACGTTATATTCAGACCCTGTGAGTAGGAGAGATTGATAACAGGGAGGGTTTGAATTATTCAGACGTTATATTCAGACCCTGTGAGTAGGAGAGATTGATAACAGGGAGGGTTGGAACTATTCAGGTTATATTTGTAGTGGAGGTACTGTACTGTGGACTCCACTTGTTAAAGGCATAATCCTGTTTTTTGCATAAAATTTCAAAAGAATAAAACTATATATCTTATATCTTCTTTATAAAAAAAAATCTCTTAATTGCATAGGTTAAAACAAAAATTCCTGTTAATTGCATTAAAAGATATAAAAAATGATTCCAAATGAAGTATTCTAGGGAAATAATGCAACTATTTGTGTTATTTAACCAATTAGTGAGAAGGAAATCAGAACATCCCAAATAGTGTTTTCAGAGGTGTCATAAGTATTTTGTTTTTGAAACAATAGTGTGTCCTTCCTTTGTTTGAATCAACATCAAAGATCCTTCATAAGTGTCTCAAGTGTGATTTTTTTTTTAACTATATACATACTTTTACCTAAAAAAAATATGAGGAAGAATGACTGATTTTTTTAGTAAATTACTATTTTTGTTAATTGCATAATTTTCTCTGGGATTTTGCCTATGCAATTAAGAGGAATCCACTGAAGTTAAAAGTGATGTGTACATTTTACTGTTAACTTACTGTGGATTCGTTATTATTCGTTGGATACCAATTTTCGTTGATTTAGTTGGTACAGGTGAGGCAGGAATTTAAATGTTCCACGAATTGCAAGTTTTCTGTAGGGTTGTATGCAGACTTTGGCAAAACCACGAAATCAAATATCCATGAAAAAGCAGGTTTTCATCAATCCACGAAAATTGGTACCCACGAAAATAAATGAATTCACAGTACTCAACAAAGATTTCTTGTACATGCTGAAATTGTGTTTGTTTTTTCGTTATCCAGCACAACCAACAATACCTTAACAATATTGCTTTTTTTCATTGGATTCTTTTTATTTTAAGTTGTGAAACTCTCTATTACAAGATGTTTATATAAAAAGATAAGTATATATGTACTAATGTAATATTTGGAATTTGTTTATTGTTTGTTAAGAAATTGTATTCGTTTTAGGTTGTATATATAGTGACAGGTAGTCCGTCATTTGTTGTCTCCCTTTATTTTTTAAAACACAGATTTTAGTTTTTAATATACATTTGTTTTCAATAAAAAAGGACCCTTTTGGGTTTATTTGTCTTGTCAACATACGTACATGTAAGGTAAGCAAAATGACAAAATTTCTGTATAAAAAGTCCTTAAAGCTAAGTTTAAGCATTTTCAGGTGAAACCTCTGTCTACTTAATGAAAGAGATTATTTTTATTTCATTTTTCTGGAAAATTTACAATGTGGCAACAACAAAAATAAAGAGTCCTTCTTCATTGTTTGTACATGTAGATAAAAGTATCAGTTAAGCATTCTAATTCCAACATCCAGGGATATTTATTTTTAAAACAAATTTATTGTTTATTCATGTTTTAGTCATTTTCTTTTCACGTTTTTGGTGAATTACTCATTGTTTTAGCTACTTTATAATCTTGTCATAACATTGCTTTCAAAATTTCATGAACAAATAGTAAAATGTATACTAAATTGAAATTTTGTCTGTTTTAGCGGCAAAATATGTGTTACTTTGAAATCCTGAGAACTTTTTTTATCTCATGTTATTTATCTTATACAGTTTAACTTGGATGAGCTGAAACAGCAATTAAGAAAACCAGAATTATAGTTTTTGTTCATAAAATGTCAGCACCACCTAGTCCATTTATTGTTTGGTTGCAAACTCACATCAATCATTGCTCTTACACTCACTGTATTTTTCAAATGATGAACTACCGGTATATTTCATTAGGTGATCGCTATATAATTGATATTCTTTTTAAAAAGCAATCTTCAGTCAGGATGTAAAAATTGACTTCGTTCTTCATGATTGTTTTTGTTGATGAGCTTATGCTTTACCTTTTAGTGTTTGCTTCAAAATTCTGTTCTCCATGATTATGTGGTCTTTATTTCACTGTTAAGGCTAATTATTATTTGTAATACTATTTGCAATCTTTTATCCACAGCCAGCAAAGATGTCATACAAGCTGCATAGTGATGATCATGTATTTCCGTTTTTTGGTATATCTATAAGTTTGGATGATAAATTATGAACTGCTTGACCATTTTTTATGGAAAGCTAAAAATAAAGGTTGATATTAGTCTTCATTTCTTTATTGTTCAATAGTGATATCATTTTGATTTCCAGAATTTTGTAAATTTTGTTAGTTTCCAGGTGGTAAATTGTGTATCTTTATCACTTAATGAAGTGTGTTGAAATTAAAATAGAATATTATGGACAACCAAATACTTGATGAATGTTACTTTTGTTCAATTTTGCTTATACAAAGTTCTCCAGAGTTATAGCCCTTGATCTTCTAAAAAAATTATGCATTTTGTTGTTTCTTTATGATAAAAACAGTTACTAAATTCAAGAATAAGTGGTCTCCTTTGTTTACTTCTTTGGTTTGATGAGGCATGTAATTGATAAAAGGGATTTAAATTCACAAAATCATCAATTGCTCATGTATAACATTGAAAATAAAACGTATACTTTTGGTACAATTCAAATGAAAATATACTTAGTTTGAGTTAATGTCATTCATTTATGCAAATTTATTACAAGAGTTAAGGTTGGGGTATCATAAAAGTTTTAGTCATCTTATTCATCATGTGAAGTACAAATAACCTTGATAGTGATTTTAATGGTCGTCATAATTCAGGCATTTCTGTTCTGCATTATCCAGAGAGCAGGTTTACATACTTATCTGTTTGTCCATATGTCTTGTCTACCTATTCCAAGGATCAACTTTAATGTATATTTTTGTTGTAACTATGTTTCATTATTGAATTTATTGATTAAATATGATACCTGTCTCTTCTGAACTGATATAACAGTGGAAGGCATTTTGAACAGACTTACAATGCAACTTACTTTATAATTATTTTTTTTTCCATTAGATTTCATAAAAAAACATGGAGAAATATTCTTTTTTAGTGATCCTATTCCAACTAATGTTTTAAATATTTAGGTTTGAGCATTCCTGATGAAGGTAAATTTAGAAAAGCACCTCAGACGCACCCAATTTATAAAGTCTTATTTTCGTTTTTGAGATCTGACCCTGATGATTTAAATTTACTTTTTAGCTCACCTGACCTGAAAGGTCAAGTGAGCTTTTCTCATCACTTTGCGTCCGTCGTCCGTAAACTTTTACAAAAATCTTCTCCTCTGAAACTACTGGGCCAAATTTGACCAAACTTGGCCACAATCATCATTGGGGTATCTAGTTTAAAAAATGTGTCCGGTGACCCAGCCAACCAACCAAGATGGCCGCCATGGCTAAAAATAGAACATAGGGGTAAAATGTAGATTTTGGCATATATCTCTGAAACCAAAGCATTTAGAGCAAATCTGACATGGGGTAAAATTGTTTATTAGGTCAAGATCTATCTGCCCTGAAATTTTCAGATGAATCGGACAACCCGTTGTTGGGTTGCTGCCCCTGAATTGGTAATTTTAAGGAAATTTTGCCGTTTTTGGTTATTATCTTGAATATTATTATAGGTAGAGATAAACTGTAAACAGCAATAATGTTCAGCAAAGTAAGATCTACAAATAAGTCAACATGACCAAAATTGTCAGTTGACCCCTTAAGGAGTTATTGCCCTTTATAGTCAATTTTTAACCATTTTTAGTAAATTTTTGTAATTTTTTACAAAAATCTTCTCCTCTGAAGCTACTAAGACAAATTTAACCAAACTTGTCCACAATCATCATTAGGGTATCTAGTTTAAAAAATGTGTCCGATGACCCTGCATGCGAACCAAGATGGCTGACATGGCTAAAAAATAGTACATAGGGTAAAATGCAGTTTTTGGCTCATATCTCTGAAACCAAAGCATTTAGAGCAAATCTGATGAGAATAAAATTGTTCATTAGGTCAAGATCTATCTGCCCTGAAATTTTTAGACCAATCAGGCAACACGTTGTTGGGTTGCTGCCCCTGAATTGGTAATTTTAAGGAAATTTTGCCGCTTTTGGTTATTATCTTGAATATTATTATAGATAGAGATAAACTGTAAACAGCAATAATGTACAGCAAAGTTAGATCTACAAATAAGGCAACATGACCAAAATTGTCAATTGACCCCTTAAGGAGTTATTGCCCTTTATAGTCAATTTTTTACAATTTTCGTAAATTTTGTAAATTTTTGTAAATTTTTACAAAGTATTTTCCACTGTAATTACCGGGCCAAGTTCATTATAGATAGAGATAGTAGTAAGGAGCAAGAATGTTCAGTAAAGTAAGATCTACAAACACATCACCATCACCAAAACACAATTTTGTCATGAATCCATCTGTGTCCTTTGTTTAATATGCACATAGACCAAGGTGAGCGACACAGGCTCTTTAGAGCCTCTAGTTTTGTTCATTTATAAGGAAAAAAATTCTCATTTTCAACTTGGAAACAGTTTAATCCTTTACTTTATTGTAATGGAAAATGAACTATTTTCAACTTGGAAAAAGTTTATTCTTTTACCTGTCAAAATTTAGATTGATTGCTGTTTGCCTAATGTCCAGTGGCAAATATTTCTGGCATGTTCAAGACCAGTATATTTTAAGAAATACCCATTCAATTCAGTTTTTAATAGAACGATTGCAATAATTAATTAAAATTTCACTGCATTTTTTTTTATTTTTACTTTTCATTTTGACATTGTTGGTTCCCCAATAGTCACTATACAAAAATTGTTTCAATAATTTCTAAAATTACATCATTTTTAACATCAGTATCATTTTTCAAATGCACGCTAGTAAATAAGTGCCTACTGTTGGTGTCATATAAACGTTAAAACAAAACCATATTTTTATTTTTATTTGTTTTGTTACTCTTCATTAATTAAGTTTCGTACTAAAATTGTACACTGGTGCTATTTTATGACCATATAGCTTAAGTATGTTGTTATGATTATTTTTTATTAATTCATTTTTTAAATCAAATATTTGTTTATGTTTTTACAATCTAATTGAAATTAAATCTCTGCACTCGTTCATTTTTTCCACACAGCAACCAAGCATAAAAAATATGAGCGAGTGCTGAGATTTAATTTTAATTAAATTGATGTTTTTTATCACTTTATGTTCTTTTCATTTAAGATGCAGACATGATGCACAGAGCATTGCTTATGCTTTAAATGACAAACTCTCTTTCTTGACAAAATTTTGATACATAAATGTTGAAATTTTTTTTTTTTTAATATTAAATTTCCAACAACATTGTGTACAACCAAAGAATTACTTCCTTTTATTATGTTTCCTTACTGTTAAAGAATTCGTTAAAATATCATAACAAATATTACAAACAGATTTTTAATCCTCAGTTTTTTTCAAGAGTTGACTAATTTAAATGCATGCATTGAGGTAATCATTGCTGTATATTCTGTTTTCTTTTGATAAACAACATGAAATAGTAATCATTAATGAATTCACAATTTCAGAATCATCAAGTGCATTCTGGGAAATGTTCAATGCATACACCAAAATGTTTTTTTTTGCTAATAATATCCTCAAGAGTTAAACCGACACATTGATGTGAAATTATTTTCTTTTTGGGTTCAAATAAAGTAATTACCCAGAGTCCTTTAGTGAATTGCAACATACATTGCAAGCTGCTTTTTCAGTCTTTAAAAGCAATCTTTGAAAAAAAAGACCTTAGAAGATCATAATCACAAATTACGAAAAAGAAAGGAAAATTCAAACTAAAAGACAAGATGACTATTATGAGTGACAGCTATGTATGAATATCCAAGTTGTAAAATTCTTTAAAAACAAATGATGTAAATACTACTTCAGAAAAAGAATTTACGCAGCTTTCATGCATGATTTATCAGTTTCCTGGTTGAATATCATCTTCAATGTCAGTTTCAGTTTTATATAATGTAGGTCTACAAAGCCCTCTGTGTTCATATATACTTATTATAGAAGAGGTGAAGAAAGAGATTTTTATCTATAGTTTGAATTCCATCCTTATTTTTCTTGTAAAAGGGCAAAGCAAAGATGCATAATAAAAGGCAATGTTATAGTTCAATTTTTTTCATTTAATATTGTTTATAGGATTTTTGTGTAAATGTTGTCAAAACAAAACCACTTTATATCTTGCTGAAGGATGTATTGTAATCTACCTATTTTATCGTTGAAGGCCCTCATGCCTTCAAGATTAAAAAAAAATATAAAAAAAAAACAGTTTCTTTTGGTTATTATCCAATTATTCCTTGGGAATTTTCTCACTTAAACTATTGAAATTTTTGTATTTTAAATATAAATTTAAGGCCTATCTTCAATCTTTTCTGTTCTTTTGTTAAAATATGTTTTAGCTGCTGTCCCCCATACACATAATTGCAATAAATATGCTTACTTATGAAAGAAATATCTTATAATAACGAGGTTATGTAAACCTTTTAATCTATTATTTACAATGTCTATTTTTACCATTACTATGTCACATTGGTGCTTTTGTTCAGTGTTGTTTATTTTTTATAATTTGTTGTGTATAAGTTTTAGTTATAGAATAAAGAAGTTGTCAGTTTCAAGTTTCTTATTCTTTTGTTGTTTTGCAGCTACAAATGGCATAAACCACTCATGTATAACAGTGTTACCTCATTTTCATGATACTTCCATTTGAATTTTATCAAGAGCTATTTAAAAAATTAATAGCTACTAGTTCTATAATTTAAGTGACATTATTCATCTGAACTGTTTTAAATTCAACACCTAACATTTATGGGGGTAAAAATTGCATGCAGTACAGATGAATTCCTATAGCCACTGTTATGATGCTGTTTGTATAGTTCTGATGCTGTTTGTACAATTCTGGTGCTGTTTGTACAGTTCTGATGCTGTTTGTACTGTTCTAATGCTGTTTATACAGTTCTGATGCTGTTTGTTCAGGTCTGGTGTTGTTTATACAGTTCTGATGCTGTTTGTACAGTTCTCGTGCTGTTTGTACAGTTCTAATGCTGTTTGTACTGTTCTGATGCTGTTTGTACAGTTCTGATGCTAATTGTACAGTAGAGTTCTGGTGCTGTTTGTACAGTTCTGATGCTGTTTGTACAGTTCTGATGCGGTTTGTACAGTTCTGGTGCTGTTTGTACAGTTCTGGTGCTTTTTGTACTGTTCTGATGCTGTTTGTACAGTTCTAGTGCTGTTTGTACTGTTCTGGTGCTGTTTGTACTGTTCTAATGCTGTGTAGTGTTCTGATGCTGTTTGTACTGTTCTGATGCTGTTTGTACAGTTCTGGTGCTGTTTGTACTGTTCTAATGCTGTGTACTGTTCTGATGCTTTTTGTACAGTTCTGGTGCTGTTTGTACTGTTCTAATGCTGTTTACTGTTCTGATGCTGTTTGTACTGTTCTGGTGCTATTTGTACTGTTCTGATGCATGCTGTTTGTATTGTTCTGATGCTGTTTGTATTGTTCTGATGCTGTTTGTACAGTTCTGGTGCTGTTTGTACTGTTCTAATGCTGTGTACTGTTCTGATGCTGTTTGTACTGTTCTGATGCTGTGTCATGTTCTGATGCTGTTTGTACTGTTCTGGTGCTGTTTGTTCAGGTCTGGTGTTGTTTGTTTAGTTCTGATTTTAGAAAGCAGTAAATGGAAGGGAATTCTTTTAATATTGACGTCGTTAACAATTTTACAAAATAAGAGTACACATATGTGTCTTATGTGATGAACTAAGATAGTCCCATTACAAAACTTTTTTTTTTGGGGGGTGGGGGTTGCATTTAATAACTTCTGTGCAACAGGGTCAATTCGCATAAATACCGACCTCAATATTCCTTTATGTGTGTCTGTCCTATTATCTCGGTATACAGCGTTATTACAATAAATAAAATTGTTAGCTGCTTTGTCCGGTGGAACTGAGCACAAAACGCTCTCTTAGATTACTGGATAAGTTTTTCAGTCCTGAAACAATTAAATCATATTATTTTAACAAATAACTGTCGAAAATTTTGATCATGATCAGTCATACTTTACAATTTAATGTAGAAAGAATCCAAAGCTATATACCAGCTTTTCACTTCTGCACCAAGAATTGCAATAAGAAGTTAAGAAATCTTGAGAGTTGCTAGAAGGAATAGAGAGTGGATACCTAGAGAGCTTTCAAAAATCTTAAGTCCAATACAAACGGACAATACCATGGCCAAAAATAAAAACGTCAAAAGGACAAACAACAATAAGAAAACATCGCATAAAAAACTTAAAGACTGTGAAACACGAACCCTACCAAAAACTAGGGTTGGAAGGGCTTGCGATATTTCAGTCACCTGTACCTGGGACTATTATACTAACCAATAATCCAGCCTGTACCAAATAACAGTCAAATGGATCATATATAAACATCGAATTTGCGGTTTCAAGAACAAAGAGTGTTGTTTTCTATATCAACATCGGAAGTTGTTGAAGAATTGAAGTGTTATTAAATCATAATATGTTCCGGTTAGCTTTTTGAGAGTTTAAGATACAAATGGTAATTCGATAAGCAGAGAGATATAGCTTGCATATTTTATCATAAAAAAGTTCACATTATCTTCTACGTTTTCCTTTTAAACAGTTTCCAATTAAAGGTTGAACTTCAATAAATAACTTTGTGATGGTGATTATTTAATTTTTAGATGTTGATAAACCAAACATATAGTCTCTTTTGGTCATATAGCTATTCGCGTGGTTCGGTACTTATACATCACACCTGACACTTGACTTTCAGATATTTAAAAGCCGCGATATAGCCTTTTTGTGCTGAGGCGGCATAAAGCAAACACCAATCAACCATTTCAAATATTTGGCTATGTGTTTTCCTGATGAAGGAGCTAATCCATGGAGAAAAGCGCTACGGACGCATATGATTTAAAGTGTTATTCTATTATTATTCCTTGTACGTCCAAAAACGGTACAGTTATACGAGGCGGGTCTGGACGGGGTTTACAGAATAGATATTAAAGAACAAACCAAATAGATATTATAGAAAAAATTGCCTAAAGATTTAAAGAATACAGAATTGAGGACCCCATCACCCTCGCCCAAATCAAGACACCCAGTTACTTTTGGCAAAAATAACAGGATGGGTTAATGAGACACTAACCTAAAGAAATATAAAACCACGTATACGTTTGTACAACACACAACCAATTTCTCAGTGCATTGTACTGATCACTACATCCCAGTTTAGTTCATGCAGGTTATCTTGTAATTATACTAATCAGGTCAGTTAAATTAGAATACATATAAAATCTACCATTGCCAGTAGATTTAGTTGTGTTCTAAGCGGAAATATCTTATGAATTAAAGGGAAATATGGTATCTGTCAATGCGACAGTGACTCAACGACATAATACACGAAAAGACCGTGTTCCAATTCGATGTATATGAGTAAGTTCTTACTTATCCACGTGAACTTTTAAGTTGAAGAGCAACAGAAGCGTCATTGTTTTCTATGTGTCAACTAAATGTCACAAATGTTGATGTTTTTTTCTTTTCTTAAAATTTATATTTAATCATCTATCTGAAAAACAGAGGCAGAAATACAATGGGGACAATTAAAAAATTATAAGTCGTAGAAAAACAATTACCATTACATAAAAGATAGATGATGCAAGGACAAAAAGATAGATGATGCAAGGACAAAAAGATAGATGATGCAAGGACAAAAAGATATAAGAGGCAGAAGATACCAAAAAGGGAAAATTCAAAATTATAAGTCGAAATAAACCCGACCATGATGGCACTAAAACGAAATACGATGAAAAGACAAACAAAAGTCTTCAAACTTAAAATATTTAAAGACTTATAGCGGGTGAAGTTTTATGATGATGCTAGCTTCTTTCCTGAGAGGATCCTGTGTACAAATCTGGCTTGGGTGAATAAAGGATTCAGTCGGAAAGAAAAGGGGCACAGTTGATTCAAATAAGTCGGTTTTTTGTATGAATTACAGTGCATGATTTGTTAGGATTTTTTTATTTTTACAAAGTATGATTTATCGCTTAGTATGTATACATTTTACCATCAAATTGTTACTGTCCTCATGTGATTGCAAATTATACTAGATGACTCCGTCTTCAACTGAGGGGTTTATGTAGAATCGGGTACAACACCCATATACTGGCTATGAAACCACTTGAGATGCATTCGGTTAAGCAAAAGGACAGCCCGTGACAATGTTCTTGTTCCCGAATTATGGGAGAGGCGAAATATACCAAAGGGACATTCAGACTCATAAGTCGAAATTTGACTGACAAAGCCATGACAGAAAAGGAAAAGACCAAAAGAGAAACAACAGTTAACAAAACACAACAAAGGATGCTAAAAACTGAGCAACACAAACCCAACCAAAACCCGGGGGTGATCTCAGGTGCTCCGGAAGGGTAAGCAGATCCTGCTCCACATGAGGCACCCGTCGTGTTGCTCATGTGAGTACAAACCCGGTGATAGGTCTAATTCGGTAGGTCACATTCGGGGAAAAGGAGGGCAGGATTGTGGTTACGACGCTTAGAACATACCCGTCGTCATCTGGGAAACAGATATTATTCCATAACGGTCAACCAACTCGTGATGGCGTCCGTTAAATTTTCGAAGGGATGATTTCAACTTCACCACTTGGAACTCTTGGTTAAATGCCTTCCTGAGTGGTCAGCAACCCTCAATGAAGGAAATGATGTTGAGTTTCTTCAAAGAAAGTTCGTGTGAAAAGTGGCAAACAATTGCTGATTTGTCAATCTTCTCTTACTGTTATGAAAAAAGACTTGCTTACCTAGCACAAGGATTTATATCTTATATACGTCCTTGCCTATCGTGATCCTTTGAAGATATAGAGGAACGTTCCTTGTCAGTTATTGGCTGAATAGAGTCGTGGAAAAGTTTGGAACACAAAAAGAACAGATACAAAAAGTAGTAAACTAGATACTTATTTCAAACTAAAAACTTGTTTTTTAAAGAAATTTATCTATCTTTAAACAATTTTCGATTGAGAAGTGCCATATGTAAAATCAGAATCAGTGCCCATGATCTTAAAATAGAAAGAGACAGGTATAAAACTTTATACATAGAAAGAGATCAGAGACTTTGGAAGAAATGTACCCTAGCTTGATTTGGTTGAAAATGAACAACAATTTATTACTAGTTATCCAGCATACAACGTGATAGGGAGATATTTTTCAATGAGATAAACAATATTTGTCATAACTTTACAGATCGTTCAAAAAAGGTAAAACTTGTTTGGTTATTTACTAATGAAATTTGTCCTAAAATATTTAGGGAATTATGTTATTAAATATAAAAATAAGAAGATGTGGAATAATTACCAATGAGACAACTCTCCACAAGAGACCAAATGACAAGAAATTAACAACTATAGGTCACCGTACGGCCTTCAACAATGAGCAAAACCCATACCGCATAGTCAGCTATAAAAGGCCCCGAAATGACAAATGTAAAACAATTCAATCGTGAAAACTAACGGCCTAATTTGTGTACAATAATGAACGAAAAACAAATATGATACACAGAAACAAACGACAACCACTGAATCACAGCCTACT